GACGCAGATGCGGCGCGGGTGCGAGCGGTCGCCCTTTTAGCCGCCTATTCCATTGAATAAAGGAATAAATCTATTTTCGATTTGCCAGTGTAACATGGAATCCTTCCCTTGCAAGAAATCAAAATGTACACAAGCACCTTGTTCATTTGTGAGATGCCAAACTATCTTTTGGAAACATTTGCAATCATACGAAAATTCAGAAAATTTATCCACATCGGAAAAGTTTAGGCCAACACAAATTTGCTCATATACTCACCTTGAATTTTATATCAGGATATTTCTGTGCTTGTTCACGGCAGATGTTTAGGAAAAGTCCATCTGACATTCTCATGATGTTAGCTTAAAAAAACCATCATGCGAATCAAAAATAAGGCGAATCGAAATAACCTTTGTGAACAGCTGTGACGTATTTCCGTGAATTTTGTCGAGCATATTCAAACGCATACTTTGCAACACGACGTGACGCGTCTTCGGTAATGAGTTTGATAGACTGCACAACACCAGGTACTATCTAAAAATTTACAACTCATCAGGCAAATCGGTACAATTTTCTTTCACTCACTTCGTGTTCGATTCCCGAGTACTCTCCCTCCGTATTCTCACGAATAGTGACAACGTCTACGTTATCGTAGAGAGTTTTGTGTCCTTCAAGTGATCGACATGGACGCACATTAGCGTACAAGTTGAATTCCCTACAAGGTAGAGAATTGAGCAAGCTCATTAAAACGACACAAAATGATCGCGAAGCCAAAATTGTGGATCATGAACAAGAAATCTGTCTATAGAGAGTATGTAATAGACTAAGGCTAATGCATATCGAAAATCAAGTAAATAGCAGAAAACAATGTATACGAAAAAATGAGAATTACGACAGCAGAATTGACTCACTTACGAACAGCAAGATTCAAAGAACGATGTCCTTTTCCAATCGGAGTCTCAAGCGGTCCTTTTAGACCCACCTAAATTCTTTGAAATTAAGTAGAAATTATGTACTGAGATTCAATCGATAAAAACAAAGATACCCTTGTAAATATAACACTTGTAAAAAATAAAATTAGTTTGAAAAAATGTGGGCTTTTCGGGTTAAATACCTATAAAATAAGGAAAGTGTCCAGAAAAACTTCCGGAAGGAAGGCTACGATCAAACCATCAACCCCTTCATCAAAAAAAATTATCCTTCCCGTCCTAGGATATTTCATAAAAAACGGACTCCGAAATTCTTGACTGAACCCAGATTTGGGCCAAAGCTTGAATTTTCTAGGCGGCTGTACATCTCGCAAACTCTCCCTTCCCTTCTCCTCAAAGAAAGCAGAAAATTGCAAGGTTTATTGGTAATTTTGAATTAATTTCTGCCAAAAATATCGCCACGGATAGTCAAAGG